CACACACACACACACACACACACACACACACACACACACACACACACTGTGAGGTCCTGACTTTGCAAACTCCATTTTAAAATAGGGCTTTCATCTTAAGCCATATAACAAGAGGGGACTGATCTCAGCTCCAGAAATGTGCTGCAATAGTGGAATTTGAACGGATATCCTAAGAAATCACCAATTAAGGAGCAGGGCCATAAAATACAGCAAGATCCACATGTTCCTGAGAAGCATCCTGTCCTTGAAGATACCTTGTCAGTAAATTATAGCTCTTTGTTAGGGTTTTTGCGCCCCCAAACTGACAAGTAGTTTCAGAAACTACCTTGCCCTATGCCCTCCTTACCCAATTCCAAGACGATAGGACTTAAACTCTGCTGATTGTGGCTTTTTCCCCTGGGCTTGCCGCCACACTCTCCTCACCCACTGTGTTGGGGTGCTGGAAAGGGGAGTTCCAAACTTGAGCTTGTATATTAAATACCCTCATGTAATTTGCATTGGAAATTGTGCCCTGTAAATACATTTGGGGCCCAGTAATTTGGCATAACAACACAAACATACACACATATCATGGATGTAGGAGAGAGTCCATGACAGGATAGAAATAGGAAGGTGGGGAGGGGACAAGAGAACATAACAGAGAAAGAAGGACAAAAGATCTCTGTAGGGCCCATGGGTCTACCCCTGCTCCTGGATTTTATCTTGAGGACAGTTTCTGGCCAGCCAACTAAAACAACCTGTTTGTTCCTGTGCTCCCTCTGCCTCTTTGGTGGTTAGCTATAGGACCTTGTTGACTCCACCTTAGGTGTGGTAATTTCCCACCTGCCTGGGGGCTATTCCATTGTGCAGCAGCTAGGTATATATGGATTTTCCTAAGCTTGAATAAACTGCATTAGGCTGATCTCCTTTCGAATGACCCAGGTCTTTTGTGTGTTCTTTCAATCTCCAGGCCCTTGCCCAGCTCATGTAAGGTACAGTGGCGTGTGAACTGTACCAAGAGAGTAACGAGGGCATTACAGATCACATACTTTCTCTCATATGCACACATAGATTTCACTCTATATAAACCAAGCAGAGTGGGGACTATTTGAGGAGGGCAAAGGAGGATCAGAGAGAGAGAGGGAATGGAGACGGAGGAGGGTAGTTGAGAGAGGAAGTATTAGCAAGATTCAGTGATCTGTATATGCAAAAATGTCACAATTAGTTCCATAATTTTCCATGCTAATGAAAAAATGCAAGAATAACCTGAGTGATTCATGGATACTTCTTTACCTTTATTCACGTTAATTGCATAGGTCAGTAGGTTGGCATAAATGCATTCAGTTTCATCACCATGCCCTTTTACCATTATTTACTGGGGATTCACATGCATGCCATGGTGCACATGTGGAGGTTAGAGGAGACCTCGTGAAGGTCAGCTCTCCCTTCTACCACATAGGCCTTAAGGATTGACTCAGGTCATCAGGCATGGCAGCAAACACCTTTACCCACCAAGCCATCTCATACTAGTATCCTCCCTCCTTGGCTTACTACATGAGTGCATATAGGTACCTGTACACACACACACACACATACACTAACACACTAACACACACTAAATACAAAAGAAAGAGTGCAAATGTCATGTTGATGCTGCAGAAAGCCCTTGAGAAGTTCAGAACCTACTAATTTGGAAGAAACAGAAAAATGTCTGTAAAGCACCCAGCATATTCCTCATGTGTGTTCACAAAATGAAATCTACTCACTTATCCTACAGCCTCACTAGCTACCCCACTGGCTCACTGACTCCAGCTACCTCCATAACCCACTCACCCACCAAAAGCAGAGCTGTCCTCCTCAGACTTACCAAGACAGGGCAAGAGCAAAAATTGGGAGTTCATGATGTCTCAATAACACGGTTTTCCAAGAATGCCTCTTCGGCTTGCCATTCCTGTCAAGTCGGTGTTTAATTCCAAGACCATCAGTAATGACTTTCCTTCAGTTTTTAATCTTCAGAGCTAACCCACAGCTTCTGTTTCACAGTGATCAGCACGTGATTTCTTAACAGTATCAGGCTACTTCCTACTGGCTTGTCTCACGTGGGCCTCTCATCACAAGGCAAGAATTCATACCACCTACTTCTAAGCTTACTTGTGCATTCTGACTGAGTTTATGAGGAAATGCTAATCAAATGTCAATTAGCATTGTGCCCTGCCACCTTTTTGTTCTTTGTTTGGTTTGATTTGTTTCAACAAAATACTTTTACTTATTTTTTTTATAATTGATACTTGTAAACAATATATCTCAAGAATGTCCACCCCTAACTCTCTCCTCCCAGTTCTCCCAGATATCCCCAATATATCCTTCCCTCCACATTTAACTCTCCTCCCCACATTTTTGTAGCCCATTGTGCTGACTAGGTTTATGTCAACATAAGCTAGAGTCATCTGAGAAGAGGGAGCCTCACTTGATAAAATACCTCTCTAAGCCAGGACTGTGGGCCAGCCCGGGGAGCATTTTCTTAGCGATTTATGAGAAGAGTTTAGTTCATCATTGGCAATGTCACATCTGGATCTGGTGGTGTGCAATAGAAAGCAGGCTGTACAAGTCATGAGGAGCAAGTAAAAAAGCAATATTCCTCCATGACTTCTTCATCAACTCCTGCCTCCAGGTTCCTGCCTGGTTTAAGTTACTGCCTTGGCTTCCCTCAATGAACTGTGACTTGAGATATGCAACCCAAACAAAACCTCTCATACTCAAATTGCTTTAGGTCACGGTGTTTCATCACAGTGAAGAGTTCAGGCATAAGAAAATAAAAATGTAGATTCCAAAAATAAGAAGGTAGAAATAAAGAAATATAAAGTTATAAGTCTAGGAGAATGAGAACAGACTATCAGCAGCTTTCTCAGCAGATCGAGGATCATTCATTCACAGTGAGTTATTTTCTCAGATGCTTGGGATGCGTAGGTCATTTTACAACTGGCTGTTTTATTTACAAGGCCAGAGTGTCTCTCTACAAATTAAGAACAGTGTCCTGACCATCCTTGATAAATGGCAGATGTAAACTGAGTTTAACCTTTAGGAGACAGAGATATGTGACCTCTGGGTCAGACACTGTCTCTGTTATGGGAAACTGGCACCACCAGAGGAGAGGCATAAGACCCCAGTTTACACCCGGAGGTACTAGGAGACAGTGGATAAATACAAAGGTTTAATTAATGAGCTCTGATGATGGAGGTTATAAAGTATGGCAGTCAGTATCTGAAGATTTACCCGGAAACAGTGTGAAAGGTTTTTCCTCCTAAATTCTCAGCCCAGGAACCAGTTAATTCCAAATTCCCCCTTGACATTAGCACTCACTCCCCTCCCTAGGGTCTCCGCTGATCAGCCCAAGGGTCAGGGCAAGGTTGTAAAAATTCCTTTACCCAGACCTAATGCTTGGTGTCCTAACTATAAAAGGTGGGGTCAGAAACTAGTCGACGCCACAGCCTAAGAAACACCATCTCTGGCTGTGGTCTCAGCTAGCTGATAAGCTTCTGTGCCCCGCTGTGTTTTATTTTATTTTTTTATTTTTAAGTTTGCTTCTGGATTTCCTAGGATCTGGTTTCTGGAATAAAGTTTGCTTCTGGTTTATTAGACTTGGTGGTGTTCTCATCTTTGCGTGACCCCCCTGGACCCAACAACAGCAATAGTAACCCTAAGACACCCACTGAGAACAGTTTCTACCAATTTTTAGGACGTTGTGACAAATTGCATGTTTATTGTTAATTTCTATGCTAGAATTATGATATTGACCTGTTAACATTTGTAACTGTTTTAGTTCCCTATACAGAAGCTACTGATTAGAAAAAGGTTGGAGTTTGTCTGAGAGAATTTTGACATCGCCAATGATTTCTTAGATTTGAGATGTTTAATAAGACAAATTTTGATTTTGTTTGTAACTGAAAACTGTTAGAGATACCCTAGACCAATTTAAAAGGCAACCCCACCTCTGATCATCCTCTACTCCTTTATTAGGAGATATTGCAACCCTAGGAGCTTTGTGACTCAGCCAGGCTCTTCATGTTCCTCCTGCCCGTGGGTGGGCCAGCTAAGGAGACATGAAACCCTGGGCTCGGGTTTCTTTACACCAGCCCTCTATTCCATCTGCCTCAACGCTGACCTCTACACACACCAGCGGCTTCAATTGGTGAGCTTCCCCATTCTGGTGAGCTTAACTGTATCTCCAAATCTGAGGAATTAACCGTTGAGCTCCCAGCAATCTTCTGGTGTTCCTAGAAACAGGGGGGAACAGCCCCCAACCATGGTCTTTAAGGCTACGGTTGAGCCCTTTGCTGACATTCCTTTCTGAATTGCTTCTCTTAGGTAAAATTGCATCGTGTCCATGACTGGGGGCCCAGGGTCCCTCAGATTTTTCTGTCTCTTTCCTTTTTTCCCCCACTGTGAAAGGTTGCTTGGAGCAGCCTCTGTCCTCTCTGGCTTCCAAGTCGCCCTGACCAGAGTCAACCAGGTTTTAGCACCCACGTGTAGGCAGAGGACGCTCTCCTACAAGTCCTGTGGTGTTTGCTGCAGATTCACTCCCCGCCTATAGAGGGGAGTCATCTCCCTATGAGCCTTGTGGTGTCGCCATTTTCGTGGGTTTTCATGGTTTCAGCTATGTGTAGCCAGCCATCCATGTCTATCAATCCAGCCTCCCCCTGGGATGCCTTTTGCAGGCCCTAAAACCCCAGGCCTTAATGCCCACTTCTTCAGCTCCTACCCGCACTCCACCGGTGTCCCAACAGTTTCAATTTTATGGGAGCTTTCTAACTACTGTCAGCAAACAGGCAAAAGGAAGAAGTTTCCTCAAACTGTCCCTGCCACCGCTACAGCTGCCAACAATCCACAAGGCGGCTGTTTTCAATTCCAGCCTTTTGCTCCCCGCCACAGCGTGTGGTGTGACTGCTCAGCGACAGGGTGGCTCAGTGACAGGACAAATCACACCTCTAGGTCTTTCTTATTATTAAACTTAAAATCCCTGCAGCTTGTTTAAAGTTGTTGACAACAAGTGTGGCTACACTCAAGGTCCAAATGAGGAGCAGAAGGGAGAACATGTGCAAGGAAGTCAGGACCGCGAGGGGTGCGTTCACCCACTGATACAAGAGGACTGATCTAATGAGAGCTCACCAAGGCCAGCTGGACTGGGACTGAATGAGCATGTGATCAAACTGGATTCTCTGAATGTGGCTGACATGGGGGCTGACTGAGAAGCCATTGACAATGGCACTGGGACTTGTTTCGTCTGCATGTACTGGCTTTTTGGGATCCTAGTCTGTTTGGATGCTCACCTTCCTAGACCTGGAGGGAGGGGGGAGCAACTTGAACTTCCCACAGGGCAGGAAACCCTGACTGCTCTTAGGACTGGAGAGGGAGGAGGAGAGGGAGTGGAGGGAGTGGGAGGGTATTGGGAGGAGAGGTGGAAGTGGAAATTTTTATAAATTAATAAAATAAATAAATAAATAATAAAAAGTGTGGCTACACACCACAACCTAGGGTGTGGTTGTTTGGTGTTTTTGACATTAAGATGGTTTATAGAGGTAGATTTTTGTTTTTATTTTGTCTGAAGTTCAGAAAATTTAAGCAAACTTTTGCTTCTTTTTTTGAGTTAAGAGGTTTGACATAGTGAAGGGCTGTCTTTAGGATTCTTGGTCTAGAGTGGGTTTATTGCCGAAACAACAAAATGCATTTCTCATGATTTAGAGGCTTGATATCTCAAAGTATTAAAACAAGTAACTGTTCTAGTTATCCTTTGTGTTATGATTTCAGCCAAACCAACATGACTGACATTTCCGGGTTCTAGGGCCACACGTGTGCAGACAAGCCCTTAGGCAGACGTGCCTAATGGCCCTGGGAATCTTAAAGGACCATGTGTGACCCATGTGTGGCATGGTTGCATCATCTACGTATGACACAGCCACATTATCCCCCCCATGCACATGCTCTAGGCAGCTCTTAAAAGCTGGACACACCATTTTCACACTCTCTCTCTGCACACCGACCTCACCAGGCCTGTACCCTCCAATAAACTTCTAAGCAGGTTTGCTGCATGTTCCGTTTTTCCTTCTCACTCATGCCAGGTAATTTCGTTGGTGCTGTGGGACTTGGGAGGCTCTCCTGCCCCTCTGCCGGGGTTGGGATCTAGAACCGGGTATTTTTTCCACAACAACCACGTGTTCCATCTGCCTGAACACAATCTCTATGCACACCACTGGGTTCAATTGGTGAATTCCCCATTGTTATCCAATTACAAGATCCTACTAAGAACATTACCAAATCTCAGTATTCCCTCTCTCTTCAGAGCCTTGGGGGACTTGATCCTATTATCTCTGACCTTCTAAGAAAAAAAACTACTTCGTTCCACCTCTTCTCCCTTTAAAATCCCTATACTTGCTGTTAAAAAACCTAATGGAACCTATTGCCTGGTTCAAGACCTCCGGCTCACTAACTCTGCAATGGTCTCTCTTGATCTTGTAGTGCCTAATTCTTACACACTTCTTTCCACTATCCCCCCCAGAAACCTCCCACTTTTCAGTTCTCGATCTTTTTTTAAAAAGATTTATTTATTTATTATATATACAGTATTCTTAGTATTCTGCATGTACACCTGCAAGCCAGAAGAGGGCACCAGATCTCATTACAGATGGTTGTGAGCCACCATGTGGTTGCTGGGAATTGAACTCAGGACCTTTGGAAGAGCAAGCAGCACTCTTAACCACTGAGCCATCTCTCCAGCCCTCAGTTCTTGATCTTAAGGATGCTTTTTTCTCTATTCCTCTCAGTTCTCAATCTCAAAATATCTTTGCTTTCACCTGAACTGACTCTGACACTCATTTCTCCACACAGCTCACCCGGACCATCCTTCCCCAGGGATTCTGGGACAGCCCACACCTACTTGGTCAGGCTTTAGCTTCTGATCTACTCCCACTGTCTCTCGCTAAGTCTAAACTCATACAGTATGTGGATAATATTTTACTTTGAAGTCCTTCCTTGGAGATCAGCAAAACTGATACC